AAGATAACGCGTTTTAACTGTTTTGGAAAATCGAAAACAGAAAACGGCTTGAAAACAGCAAAGGGTCTGTTCTCTTTACCATTTTTAAGCCGTTTTCTGTTTTCTATTTTTCAAAATAGTGAAAACACGTTCTCTTTCCTATTTTCGAAAATACATTTTTGAAAATGAAAAAATAAAAAGCACTCGAAATGCAAAACGTCCAAAATCACGTTTTGGCTCGTTTTGACAAAATTGAGCCAAAACACGGTGATTTTGCCAAGACACGGGAAATGAATTTCGCACTCATCCTCTCTCTTCCATCTCTCCCGTAACAAAGGGCTTTTGGGATAATCCTTTTCCTCTCACAAAATCACAACCCAAAATTTCTTAAGAGAGCCCTTTACCAAATTTTCTCTTATGATTTCGATTTTTCTTGATTTGAAGCGTGTAGGTTTCAGCTTTATCGTTGGTAAATTGATGCAGTTTACACCGTATTTCTTGTGATTATAATGTTTGAAATTGTAGTATTTATTTTTTAGTGCATGTTTATAATGATTTTTTCAAAATCCCCCAAATTAAGGCATTTCTGTATTGGGCCGAAAAAAATTCTGAAAATTCATTATCAAACTGTACAGGGTTTGGATTCTTTCAATTGCAGACACTAATAGCTGGTCAGGTTCTTCTTGCAATCATTTTCCTCTTTTGTTACCCCTATTTCAGTTTGTTATTGAATTTTCGTGATGATTCAGAGGTCTAGTTTTCACAATTAATCATGTTTGAAACCTTGGGATTTGTTTTATTTAGCATTCTTTTTCAGTTGAATCTGTAATGTGTATTTAAAAAGGCTAGTAAAAGTTTTGTTTTTGAGAAATATTGATACCCCGAATGATTGGTTTTGATTTTTCTCCAATTTCTCCAACTTCAGGCCACTTCAAGTCTTCGTGATGATTGTGGTGTATTGTTTTTGTAATGGAACGTGTTTGAATCTTGGGATTTATTTGATTTGGCATGGCATGCTTTCAGTTGATGTTGAATCTATAATGGTATTGTAATTTTTGATTCTATTGATGATGTATTGATTTTTGCATTAGTTCTGCTTATTAACACAATTGCTGAATCATATGCTTTCTTCCTCTTGTCACTTGTTGGGAATGTTTTACATGGATTCGTTAAAATGAAGAGTACTAGCTCATTAAGCAAGTCTCCAAATATGTTTAATCACTTAAATGTAAATAAATTATACTTGTAGAAATCTGAATCCATCATATTCATGTTATCTAGTAAAGAGAAATGTTTACTCTATGCTAGGTAATTTTTGTCACAAGTTACGTACAAGGACAAAAATAAGAACTTGTCAAATTTAATTTAGACTGTGTTTTTTATATTTGAATATATATATATATATATATATATTTCAAGGTTCACCACTTCAAAATTTATAGATGAAACTATTAAAATTTATTGAATAATCAGATTTCTTAAATAAAGTATTATAAAAAATTATTTTCAAAATTCCAAAGTAAACGTGTTTTCCATTTTTATATTTTGAGAAACAGTTTTTTAAAATGACAAAAAGAACGCATTTTCAGTTATTTCAAAACAGACACTCAAAACACAAAATACAAAATGAATTCAAAACTCAAAATTGAAACACAAAAAGAACAGCACTTAAATTTTCGAAGTATACAATTTTTGAGATGTTTGATTTTATCTTTAATTCTTATCGTTATATGGAGTTAGTTGATATCTAGAAGTTCAGTTATTGTTCAGAATTTTTTGTTCTTAAAAATATGAGTTGTAAGCCATATTAAATTAGTTGAATTTTGAATTAAATAAGAGTCTTGAATTTCTCAAATTATTCTATTTTTCTTAGTATATGATCTTTCAAATCGCTTCTCAGCATGTGACCGATAACACTTAGCCCCTATTTGATGCCCACAATTTGGGATTTTCAACATTTTAAAATGAATTTTTGGAGAATGTGTATTTAAAAGTATGAAAAATTATTAAGTTTACATATAAAATATTTTATTCTATGAATGTATGGTTGAAAATGAATATATAGAAATAAAGAGTTTTGAAATAAAGATGTCAAATAAGGGCTTAATTCCGCCAATTTATCCCTTTGTTTTGTCGTTATTAACTCTTATGGTTGGTTTGTCGTTTGAGTGTTAGATTCGTGAAAATTGAGCTGTAATGTATACTAAGATTAGAGAGAAAAGGAGGGAAAGATTGACTTTCAATCTTTTTTTTTGTTGCCATGGAATTTGGCGTCAGAGTCGGCTGAAACAAGTTTTTTCTGGGACAAAAAAGGTCGAATATTTTAAGGAAAAGTTATGATGTTTTGTCATGCTATTGCATGCATCTGTAGGCTTCAGTTATAGGGAAAAATCGGGGGAAAATAATTTTCAGATATTTCTTTTACTTAAATTATTTATTCTTCTTAAAAATATAATTTTTTCATAGTCACTAAATTTATAGACGAGTACGTTTACATTTTTTTGTCTTAAATTACCTATGCCGTTCCTCTGTTTCTTGCATACATAAAATAATTATGAAGTTCATGTTGGAAAAATGGTTGGGTGGTTGACTTTGGAGCTAAATTTGAGTGAGACCCGATTGTTCATTTTGGAATATGGAAGTTGATTTCTGGTATACTCCCTGAATACATCGAAATTATGTATTTACTTCCCCAAAAATATGCTCTGGTGAATGAAAAATTGATGCTCAAAGTATGACATCTGAAAGGAGTTTATGTGGGTAAGAAAACTAAAATAAACTTGTCCCACGTAGGAAAATGAGGAAAGTAAAAACCACTTTATATAGGATTGCACTTTGGAATGATGTAATCATGCGTAGCATAGAGACTCTCTCCATGTGCGCGCGCAGGGGGTGCAAATCACGGATCGAAATAGGTTTCGGACCTTGAACTCGTATGAGAGCGCGACCTGCGCACACGAATGTCGGACCAAATTGACCAAATGTTTTGAAATTTGTTTTTGCTTTCTAGAACTGAAAATTTGTTTTTGAAACTCCAAAACGTCTGAAACTCTCTTAGTTATTACAAGTGAGTTATGGAGACTTTTGGAATTAAAAGTCTACATAATAGAACCTCAAACACACGAGCACTAACTCAGTTCGTCTGTCTTGCATACTGTTTTCCTTCCAAACCTTGTTTCAATTTTT